GGAATTCTGGGAGTTGAAGTCCACCCCTCTTCCAGCGCCCAAGGTTGAGAAACAATTGCATTTCAGGGATTTTAAAATCTCTCCAGCACGCGCACACTCATAAGCCCGAAGTTCGTTCGTTCGTTCTTCCTCTCCTTCTCTTCCATTTTTTAATTATTATTTTTTAAATTTTATTGGCAGGCAGGACTCTTTGGCTCCCAGATCTGAGCGGTGCTACTGGGGGAACCAGGGGTGTAGAAAGTGCCCCTTTAAAACTAACTGAGATATTGCAGCTGAGAGGGAAGTGTGTTATTGTTGCTGCTGCAGCTGAGAAGCGAGTTGCTGTTGTCGTTGTTATATTTTTACCCTGCCTTTTTTATCTTTCTTCAGCTGAAATGCTCCTGCCTCCTCCTCTTCTCCCCATAACAGCCCTGCAAGGTGGGTTGGGCTGAGAGAGGGACCGGCCCCACGTGTGAGAGTTCAGGTTGTATTAAAAACCCCACAAACACCCAGCCAGAGGGGCCATGGAGTAAAGGAACAAGGGTGCATTCTTCTTCTTAAAAGCGCTCGTCCAAACGCTTGCTAGACTGATGTGCCAAGGGCTTGTTTTCTTAACCAGCTGTCATTGGTGCGTGATAATGAGGATTATATTTTTATCCCACCTTTTGACGATGTGGCAAACACACCGAACACTCTTTCCTCCTCTTTTCCCTACCGCCACCACAGCCCTGCGAGGTGGACTGGGCTGAGAGAGCGGGACGGGCCCGAAGTCACCCGGTTGGCTCTCGTGCCTGAGGGAGATCTAGAACTCACCGTCTCCTGGTTTCTAGCCTGGTGCTTTTGTTGCCCCAGGAAACGTAATGGGTTTGTGGACCTGGCGTGCCATGCCCGATGAATCACGTGTGGCCCAAATCTCTTTAATGGCTTTAAGCTGCGGAAGAAAGGGCGCTTGGGAAAGTTTTCCAGATCAAGCACAATGCTCCATGCAAATCACTGAGTTTTTAAACGGCTGCAATCAGAAAAGCATTACATCATAGGTTAATGCAAGTTTATTGGTATACCCAGTCAAAAGACTCCTGAGAAGGTGGGTACTCACTCCCAGAGGGTGGGCACTGGTTGTTGCTAAGGGAAATATAGCTGAGCTAGCCAGTTGTTGTTCAGTCGCTAAGTCGTGTCCGACTCTTCGTGACCCCATGAACCGCATCGCGCCAGGCCTTCCTGTCCTTCACTGCCTCCCGGAGTTTGCTCAGTTTCACACTCATTGCTTCGGTGATGCTATCTAGCCATCTCATCCTCTGCCGTCCCCTTCTCTTTTTGCCTTCAATCTTTCAAGCTAGCCAGTGCCTTATCTCAGTTACAAGCGCCTCCCGCTGCACCCCATTCTCCGAGTGCTTGCACTTCTCTCTCTAGCTGATACTGGGCACAACACGCAAAATTGAACACAGTTTGTAGCTTCAATATCTGCTCAGCAAGTAGTGAAGGACAGTTCTGGGACCATACACGATGTTCTGTCTTCAAATTAACCCTAAAATGACCATTCCATCACCTTCCCCGCTGCACCAAACTGGCTCTCTGACAAAGCCGATTTCTGACCTACTATGGAAGCCCCTGATCCCCTTACGGCCTGTAAGAAGGTAGCAAAGACAGACCTTCAGCCGTAATGTGAAAAGAAAAGGACTGATTGCTGTGTATTCTTACAGGGAGTTGTCCTAGTGGTGGACCATTTCCAAACAAGCAGATAAAAGATGAATTTCTTTCTATTATGTCTTTCTATAGTATTCAGTCAGGCAATTAGTCGATCTCGGTGAGAGTTTTTCAAACTTGGCAACTTTAAGGTGAGTGGACCTCAACAGGCTGGCTGGGGAATTCTGGGAGTTGAAGTCCACACCTCTTCAAGTTGCCAAGTTTGAAAAAGACTCATCTAGATGGTAGTCTCTGAGTATGTGGGTCTCAGTTTCCATAACCTGTTTTTGTTGTTATTTAAACTTGCATGCCATCTGACTCTCAATGTCTGGGCAGCATAGATGGGAAGGAGAACTCTGCATCTTCTGCACGAATGTGAGAATTAGACTGCATGACCAGCCGATCTCTCCCACCAAGTGATTATGGGACCCTTTTAAGTGGTCTTCTGCATCTGTTCTGTGTGACAGCTGTGGGGCTACCCTCCCGCATGCCAGCGCTGACACCATGTCTGAACGGGAGGAACGGCGCTTTGTGGAGATTCCACGGGAGTCGGTGCGGCTGATGGCCGAAAGCACGGGCGTGGAGCTGACCGACGAAGTCGCTGCTCTGCTGGCGGAAGACGTCTGCTACCGTCTGCGAGAAGCAACCCAGGTGGGAGGGGCACGGTCCTAGGATGTGGGGAAATAAAGAAACCTCTTTTGTCAGCAGAACCCCGGTTTGTTTGGATTCAGCATAATCGGGGGGGGCGTGCCCCCTTTCCTTCAATTTAAAACGGAACGTTCAGCCAGGAATAGCATTAAAAACTCAAGACTGAAATGCCCCAAAAAGGTTCTATAGTATAATGGGGGCCCATTCAACATTATGCAGAAAGTGTGTTTATTTCAAACCTTTCCATGCACTGTTTCAAGGATCATGACGTTATTAAAAGATGTCTCTCTCCCCATCGCCATGTCCTTCCTGTAGTTTGACCCCCTGGCTTGTGGCAGAGAGAAGAACATGCCATCTTGCCTGAATGTGCACAACATGCTAGCCTAGCCTAGCCTAAAATGGGGTTGGTAGTGTGTGGTTCAGCACATTGTGGGAACCAGGCCATCACATTAAGCGGTAATATGGTTTACTGATTTTGGTGTAGCATGCTGTCAACACCACAACTGTGTTTTGTTAACCTGAGTTTAGTGTGTTTTATGCACCCAGCCATTGCTTTTCCTAAAAGCCAGCAAGAAAGGGGAAATGCCACACCTCTGGGGTCAGGAATATCCTAGCTGTGGAGCATCTCTCACCCACCCAGCGCCTTCCTGATTGCTGGGAATCCTGGGAATGATCCCCCCAGCACATCTGGAGGCGATTAGATCACGAAGGGGGAACATGCGATGCTGAGTCCAAGGAGGGGTTCAGCGGAAGGTCCTGTTTACATCCCGTTCCTTCTTCCCTCGGTTTAGAACAGTTCCCAGTTCATGAAACACACCAAACGGCGGAAGCTGACGGTGGAAGACTTCAACCGGGCACTGCGCTGGAGCAACGTGGAAGTGAGCTGGGTCCTGGGGAGCAGGAGGGAGCTTTTCCGTGCCGAGAGCAAATTCCTTTCTCCCTTGTGTGGCAATTTTGGGCTAGAGGGACCATGTTGGACTCTGGTTTAGGAGAGCTTGTTAGAGCCAGCAGCTTTGGTCTGGACAGCCCTTGTCCCAGTCAGTTGGCCTCTGAGCCCTGGCTATAGATTCGTTAATTAGCCTCACTGCTTAAAGAGCATGAGGAAAGTTTTGACAGCTCCAGGATGGAGAGCAAATCTGTTGGATCTTCAAGGCAGCATTGGTTCAGATGCAACCCTCTCCCGAACTCTCCTTCTGGACTGACTGATCTTTGATGCTATTTCAAAAAGAGAATTGTGCTACCCTAGAAAGCTGACATCTCTCTAACGATTTGGGGTGATGCAGCCCATGAATCTGGTAAAAAGGCAAAAAATATGGCCGTAACCCTTTTGTAATTTGTCAAGTTCTAGAAAAATATTGTTGATGAAGATGGCTTGGAACTAGCAACTGATCTAACATCAGCTAACTTTGGTGTCCAGTGTTCCCAAACTAAGTTAAATATAAAAGAAGATAAAGGACATTCTTGACAGGTTCCACATGATATCTTGTAAGGTGAAGAAATCAGTCCATTTCTAATCACTTTAGTTAAGAGAGAGCCAGTGTGGTATAGCAGTTAAGGTGCTGGCCTAGAAAGCAGGAGACTGACTTCCAAGAAACTAACTTGACAAAATACGTCAGACAAACCCCTTCTTAGTTCACACGAAGATAAAGTGTGGGAGGAGGGAAGCGCATTCAGGCTTGCAAGATTCTGTTACTTTAGCTGTTCCCCCCAAAAGTAGTTCTAGACCCACATGGCATTGGTTTCTTAATCTGGTCGACCTTATAGGGCTGGCAACTGCGTAACCTATTAAGACAATGCGGAAGCTTTACAAAAATGCCTTTTCACTTTAATTTCACTTTAATTTTGGAATAAAGCTTCCATTCTTTTCACAAGGCTTATATAAAAGGAATCGTGAAGCTGGGAAGAGACTCTGCGCGCCTTTGTGAAAAGCTGTAAAACGTTGATATGGGGACTGCAAAAGATTTGCCCTGCACAGTCAATCTTTATTAAAAAAAGCTTCAGAAATGTTAAACCAGTGTTTCTCAACTTGGCAACTTTAAGACGTGTGGACTTCAACTCCCAGAAGTC